TATGATGATGAAAACTCTCTGATGGAGTTCCCTCATCTATTTTATCACAATTATTATCCCCTATATTATTATATGCCCTTTGTTGACAGCGCTGCTGTCCCCTCCTGCTCCTGGTGATGCCAGGTCCCCGTCCCCATCCCCACGCAGTGACTGCCAGACCCAACCCTTGCACCATCATTTCCACACCAAGAAGCATCAGAACACACCTTCATTCAGCCCAGTGTGGGAAAAACAGCAGCCCAGACACCATTTCCAAGTGTTAACCATTTATAAATAAGTACATTTTTTCATACATACAGTTTTCATTGTACAGATTACAATCTGTATACATTGGGGGGGGGAATGCATTCTTTTGAACTTTTCACATCTATCTCACAGCTCACATGTACAGACAAGAAAACTCTGCTCAAGCAAATACAGCAAAGGAAAAAATATGTTTTCTTCTTTCCTTAGAGATGAGAGGCAAAGGCCTCTGCTGTCGGCAGGGGCTGCTCTTCCCACTGCACAATATCACAACCGTGTGGTGTTCAATATATCAGTAGAGAGAACAGAACATGCATTGGATAATATACTGTACAGAGAGAAAGTCCTTTACATCAGAATTATAGAAAAGCTAAAGGAAAATTTAAGTGTCTTAAAGATCTTCCCAGCAAGTGTCTCGGAGGATGGCAACCAGGGAATTGTACAAAGCACAAGGCGGGTGTACTGGACGTGTTTGTACCCAACTCAGATCCTCTCGGATGTGAAGACAGAAGGGGGACTGAACGCTGAATGCAACACTATGGCAAAGAAAAGGCTGGACAGGGTGAGCCCGGCAGTGCTGGCAGAGTCCACACGAGTCTCTGGGTTGGCGGTGGCGCGACAGAAGGGGCTGCACGTAGCACACAGTGCTGCTCTCAGTGCCTGGCTGGTCAGTGCACAGCGAGGCAGACCCGTGGTGACCCAGTTCCCTGGGCACGAGGCTCTCCCACCCCCCCATCCCGACCCCGACCCGCTGGAGGAGACGCCTCCCCGCCCCACCGCCGTCCCCGGACAGCGTCACCCGAAGGGACAAAGTCTTTTGGCAGAGCAGCCCCTCTGTTTTCAGGACCACAGGATGCGATCCCGTCGGATGGGACCCGGCTGCTGACTCCCCAGTACCGTGACAGCTGGAAAATGAGCAGGAGGAAGGACACGGCGGGTGGGCTGGGGGTCTGCTGGCTTCCCCGGTGACGCTGTGCTCCTCTCGGGCCGGTCTGTCCCAGCGGTGGTGAGATCCAGCTGTACATCAGGAGTTGGACACGAACGCATCTTTGCTAAAGAATTGAGCCCTTAGTGGTTTATATATTAGAAAAAAGAGTTTGACTGAATGAAAATCCAGCAATTATTCACACAAAGCTGAAAAAAAAAACGCAGATTCACTTTCAAACCATTGTGCTTTGTGTCCAACACACACCCCCGCCGGACTGTGCGGGGCGAAGGCATTGATCCACAGAGGTCCCAGCGGGTACAGCAGCTCTTCCCCTAAGCCCTTGGTTAGACACTGATATCCTGGTAGAAGAGTTATCTTGAATTCCCAAGACTAAAGCAAAGTACAACCACCAAGGAGCTCCCGACAGCTCACCACGGGCCCCCCCCGGGCGAGGAAGGTGGAGGACGAGCAGGCACGACGGCTTGCTTGGTTCTCTAGATAAGGCGGAGCTGGCACTTCGGTTTTAAGCTAAACTTCTCCTGGGTAACCCTGAATATACAGCAACCTTTGTGAAGGGGACTGAATTGCTCCCGGTTTAGTTGCCACCCTGCTTCCAGACCCGATCCCAGCGTGGCTCCGGTGTCTGGCAGATTCACACTCCCGTGTTCACACCAGCCACGTGGCTCCCTCACAGCCAAGTCAAAGAAAAATAACCAAAAAGTTCAGTGCTCGAACAGCCCCAGCTGGGCACCAGTGCCACAGCAGACGGACAGACAGACGGACAGACACACGCCTCAGGTTGTCGGAGCCGGCACAGCCCCCCCAGCAGCGACACAGAGAAGGCAGCTCAGGCTGTGCCTTCTTTGGAGATGGATCCCAAAGGATCTGTCTGTAAAACCCTCCCTTTCCTAAGCACTTCAGTGCCCACTCAAGACTGTGTTCAAAGCTCTCCACTGCCACTCCCAGCCTGGCTGGGGGGACCCTGCAGAGCCCCCCACCACACCAGGTGGGTGTCCCCTCCCCTGGGACCACAGCATCCTCCTGACCTGGGAGACAAAGCAAGAGTTGATGAATCCCCACTGAGAGATGGGACAGACACCCACACTTAATGGTGGGAGAGATGATTCCAGCTCTGCAGAGGCACACTTGGCTCTTGGAGCAACCACAGGTGAGGATGAGACACCTGGTGGGAAGGTTGGCTGAAGAAAGGGGTCAATCCCAGCATCACCTTTGGCATTGCCTTCCCCGTGCACCCCAAGAACTGAACCCGGAGTTTCAGTGTCATCAAGAACCTCCTTTACTCGGTGCATCCAAGAATCCTGCGCTCACTTGAAGAAGGGGCTCGCCAGCCGTGCCACTGAAGCCAGGAGGGGATGGAGGCACCAGCTGGCAGCATTGTCCTGCATCTTAATTACCCAAAGAGTAATTGAATATGTAGCATGGACAGACAGGACAGCACCATGTCTGAAACTCTGGATGTGATCCCACAATGCAGCCCGGGCCCGTCAGACCTGGATCTAAGAGTAGAGGATGAAAGGCCCTCAGGTGAGATCCGACCTCGTGCTCCCCCGAGTGCAACAGGACCATGGCAACACCACACAGAACGACCTGCTTCTCCTCCTGCCAAGCCCAAATCATGACTGAAGACACAGGGGAGTGTGTAAGAACAGCTTTTCCAGGGAGAGATGTGCTCCTTTACCCACCCGGCGACCACAGCAGCCATCCTGCCTCGACTGTCCCTACGGGAATTGCTGGGGAAGTGCTTTAAAACCGCTGCAAATAATTTTGTATTCAAAAATTACTCAATCTGTTGATGCTTATATACAGGAGTCAGTTCTTGTGCTATAAATGTTATGATTCATTGCTTCGTTTCTTTTCTTTTTTTCTCCTTTCTTTTTTTGAAAAATACACTAAGAGACAAGAGCTGTTTTGCTATTTTTCTAATGAAGACACTACTCACGCTTAAATATCCAGTATTTATCATAGTAACAAATTCAAACAGTAAAGTGCACCCATTTACAGAGAGAACAGATGGAAAACCATTAGTGCAAGAATTCTGTGAAAAATGTAACACGTGGAATTGTGAAAAAACCTGCACGCCGCAGTGTTTTAAGCCTTCTTCAGCTTGGTGCTCGTGTTGAAAAGTGTGAGCTGTTTTCATCTTCCCTTGAAACATCTTCATAAGCCCGAAAGTTACACACAGAAGTGCTGTGAGGGGACATTCTGAAGGACAGGACTGGGAGCACGAGGCAGTGAGCAGCAAAAGCAAAGCACGGGCAGTTCTCCCATCGCTGCTCTCGGACCGTCCCGTTGGCATCTCAGCGGGGAGAACCGGAGCGGGGCCGCAGCGCGCCTCGCTCGGCCGGAAACACCAGGGATGGGGCTCAATTTGGTTACTTTTTCCTTTCAAAGAAGCAACTAAAGGTAGGAAGCCACTCGGGCAGAAAGCTGGAGGACAAGAGGTGCTGAGCAAAGCGACTGGTGCAGCTCCAGACGCTGGATACGTGTGCCGGCCGTGGGTTGCGGAGGAGAAATCGGCCGTTCCTTACAAAGCAGAACGTGCTGCTTCAAAAAACAGAGGGAGAAAGAAAACCATCGCACCCCCTTTGCAAGGAGAGAAACAGGGCACGGAGCTGGGTGTCCCCACGGCCGTGGGGGACTCGCCCCACTGAGGGGGTCCCAGTCTGGCCCCTGCTTTACCCTGTGGTAAAGCAAAGAGTCAGCACTGGGTCGCACTTCAAGGAAGAAAACACCAACCTCAATCCAAATACCGGCTCAGACAAAGACCAAAGAGCTCAAAATGGCCAAGACTCATCGAGGAAACACTCCCCTGAATGCTCTCCATGTGTCTATGAGACACAAGCCTCCATCACCCCCCAAGGTTTACACGTCCCAGCTCGCTCTGAGCAAATTAGGCAACAAAACAGCAACAAGATATGCTGAGCCCCACACAGGGAAGAAAACAAAAAGCCCCAACGAAGCCAGGGTTTGCTTAAGGAGTTTCGGACCCAGTCCCGAGCTGGTGGGAATTGGCTGCAGCTGCAGTGAAGTGGCGCTGGGATGTGCTCACTGACACCAGCCAAGGTTGGAGCCCGTGATTTGGTTCAAGAAGTCTTGCAATCGATTCACATTTAGCCCTTTGGAGACCCCGGAAGGTATCGCTCCCCCTGCTCAGCACTGAGATCGCTCCCAAGAGTTGATATGAGTGAGGTTCGGCATCGGGCAACAGGCACTAAGTTTGCTTTAAAACAAGCTACAGGGTTATCGCTCTCCCCCTCCCCGGCATCCCACCCTTCGCCCTCAGGAACGGAGGAATTCCCACCAGGAATAAGGGAATCGGTAAAGGAAGTTCTTACCCCCCCCCCCCCAACAACCCAAAAGAAATTTTCGGCGAATAATTGAAAACTTATTGAAAATCCTATAAAAAGGATCTTGGAACCGGCCCCTGCTTTTCACGTCGTCTTGATGTGACTCGCATTTGGTTAAAACCCCAGAAACAAGAGGAAAAAAAAACCCAAAATGAAAAATACCCTGAAATAGGTAACATAAATAAATTATAAATAGGTGTCTTTTAACTACAGCTCCTCAAAAAGCAAAACATGGTCTCTGCCATGTACAGCTCTGGAACACAGCATTGCTTTCCAGGATTTTGGGAAGGGATCTTAGAGAGGTGCAGCCCTTGCTACAGCCCTGGCTCCCTGGTGGGAGAGAGCTGGAGGGAAGGGATGCTGCAGGGCTGGGATTGCAGAAGGAGCCTTTCTCTTTTGGGACCTACCGTGCCAATGTTCTGCATCCTCATCATAAAAAAAAAAAACCCTAAAAATTTTTTAAGTCAGATTTTTGTTTTTCCTCTCAAGTGATAAATTCCCCCCCCACAAATGAAGGCCCCAGCACTGACCCTCCCCGGTGCAAATGCTGCATGTGAGGTGCAGTTTGCCAGTGGTGTGAGGAAGTTGGTGCAATCCCGGTTCACACAAAACAGGTTCCTGGCCAATTCCCTTGGCTGATTAAAACACGTAAAGAAAGGGCCAACCTTAAGCCCTCAATGCTTGTAAAACGTCCCAGAGCAACGAAATCAGTGTAGGGGCACCTGGCAGGTACTTGGAAAGCAGCAAAGTGATCCCCACCCCACCACCGACGACACGGTTCAAGAAGGAAGGAATCCAACTGGGATTAAAATGCTGGAAACCAGAGGAATCAGGATGGGTGTTGTGCATAGCTACTGGTGTTACATCACATCACCCTCAGGCCTCGCCCGCTGAGGGTAATTTGCTCTTTGGGGCAAAGAGCCAAATGACCTGGCTGGCACGGGGACCCGCAGATCAAGCCTTGGGAAGGCTCCTGTGATCCCTAGGAATTCCCATCAGAATTGAGTAAGAGCTCATCGAGACAAAAGAAACCAATTTAAATCGAAGGCAATTGTCTCTAGAAAAAGAGCTGGTTACCTCCCGCTGCGTAGGGATATCTCTGGGCCACCCCGCACCACGGACTAAGATATCCTGGTTGGAACTTTGCTGGAATTGGGCAAACGATACTGGCTCGGCTGATGTTGGCTTCACAGTCAGCTGGGGAACGAAAGGGCTGGAGCACGTGCATGGCTGTCTGACCACCACACAAAGTACCGGAGAAACTTGGTCATGTAGCTACCAGAGGGAAATAAAAATAATAATAATAATAATAATAATAATAATTAATAATAATAATAATAATATGCATGGAAATCAAGCTTGGAAGTGTGTGCTGAAAACATGAGGGTCTTACTCCAACAAGCGTCTTTTACACATTAGACTCCACAAATGGTCTCTTTGGTTTGATTGGGGACGTCTGCCCTTGCCTGGAGTCCCTGGAGAGCTGCCTGTACAGGTTATCCTGGTAGGCCTGCGCCACGGGCAGCGTCCTTGCCACCTTGACGTCGGGGTACGAGGAGGCTTGGGTGACTCTCTCCAGGAGGTCTCCCCGGGACCCATTGGCCAGCATCCCATGGGGGCTGTAATAGTCTTCCTCTAGCAAATGGCCATTCTGTGCATTGTTGGTTTTGTTATAAAAGGCAATGTTGCTGATTGAAGAGGGCGGGCTAAAGGATTCCGGCTGGGGCAGATTGCCAGGAGACGTGGGACTAATGACAGTGTCCACTGACGACACGGCCCAGGTCCGGTTCTGCTGATGGAGGTGGGGGTACTGCTGAGTCCGAGCGGTTTTATCTATGATTCCCATGAAGGGCGTGGTCCGGGAGCGGGCCGGCTCGCTGGGATAACCCCCCTGCGTGGGGGACACCGGAGAGAGCTCGTCGCACGATCTGTCGTAGGCCGGCTTGAGGGGAATCTCCATTTGCTGAATCGAGGCAGAAGGGCGGAAGTTGGGAGTCAGGTTGGAGGTGGAGGAGATGCTATTGCTGGAAGGGGAGAAGCGCAGGCCCACGCTCTGAGAGTGCAGCAGCGGCCTGGGAGTCGGCGGGTGAGGCTTGATTTCGCTGGGATTAACTGAGATGGGCCTTCTTATGAGATGAGACACATCCGGAGAGCCCAGCTGGTTGGCGGGGAGGGGAGAACGCTCCAGGTCGAGCTTGGAGTGACATACGGGATAGTAGGAAGCGGACTGGCTCCGCCCGATCTGAGGTGTCTGGCTGTACCTCATCCCCCCTCTGTACGCCGAGGACGGTCTCTGGGGAAGGTCTTCCTTGGCCAGCCCTCCGTGCTGACAGATGGCCCCGGCACTGAGGCTCGCCTGCACGTGCTGCACGGGCCTGCTGTCGCCCACGATGCCCCCGATGGAGCCCTGGTAGACCAGCCTGCTCTGGTTGACCCCCATGTCCCCCGACGACGACTGGTACTTGCTGGCCATCGAGTGGGCAACCTGGCTGTATGCCCCGGTTGGGATGACAGTGCTGGAGTGGACGGCGGAGCTGGGCTGGTTGCTCCTCACTATCTGTGCCTTGGCTGGCTGCAGCCTCAGCCCCTGCTGGGGCACAGCCACGGGGAGCTGGGGCATCTGGAAGGATCTCTGTGTCATCTTGGAGAGCGGAGACTTGGGTCTGCCGGGGAGCTGGGTGACCCCGCTGGGCTCCTGCTGGTAACGCACCGGGGAGCCCGACTGTGACCTGTAGACGCTCATGCTCTCTGCAGGGGGGCTGGCGCGGTACTGGGGGCCTCTGCGAAGAGGAGACGGCGGCGGGCTCTGATATTCCTTCCCTTGGCTTCCGACGGGAGGGGGGCTGAAGCGGTACGTGGAGCCCTGGTGAGCCGGGGACGTGTGTGGAGGACTGGGCCTGTAATGTGAGTTTTGGTGCGTCGGAGACAGAGCGGGAGACGTGGACTGGTAGCCCTGCCTGGTTGGAGACCCCACGGAGCTGTTGGACCTGAAATCAAAGACCTGATGAGAGCCAAGAGGTGAGCCGGAGATATAGGCCGAGTCCCTGTGAGCGGGGGACGGGGGTGGGCTCTGGATGATGGGCAGCCCTTGGTTTGGCCTGGACTCTGTCTGCAGGCCAATGGAAACATTTTCTACGTCCTGCTCGAGGTACTCCTCCTCGAAGATATCCTGCACAGAGTACAGCTCTTCGTGCTGGGCTTCGGGTTCCGGCTCTGCCGGGAGCGGCGGCGGCTGCTGCTGCTGCTGCTGCACCTGCCTGCACTCCTCCTCCACCCGCAGCAGCAGCCGCTGGATCTCGCGGTTGTTGGGACACAGCTTGATGGCCTCGTTCAGGTCCTCCAGGGCTGCTGAAAACTGCCTGCTCGACAAAGGGACAGAAATGAGAACTGAAGTTACTCTGGATTGGAATGGAGCCGTTTCCAGAGGCTCCAGAGGAGGGTAAGTGGCTCGTCTGTGTTACTGAGGGAGATGTTTGTCATTGCTACTGCTCGCTGTGCCTCTCACACTCTGCCTTATGGGCCTCCCTTGGATTTAGTTTATCCAAACTGAAGGAAAATACTGGAGAAGAGGGGAACGCAGTCCTGAGATGGCACAACCCAGCCTAGCAAACATGCCTGTACTCTCTGGTGTGCGTTAGGATTAATTAATTACTGCCCTCAGCACCTCCCTGAGCTTCACCTCAGCGTGAGCAAAGGGGACACCAACACATCACTCACCACGACCTCAGCTCAGCACTGCTGTAAACAAGCTCTGACAGAGCTGCAACCACTTATGCCAGTGAAAATCCAACTTCTGCCTGATGCCAAGACCACACAGCGTCAGGGCTGGCTCCAGAGCTCAGGGGCTCCCACGGGTCAGCGCTCTGGGCATGGCTTGTCTCTCCAATTTTGCAATGAATTTGTCCAACTCCCTTGGAACGAAGGAATCGAGCAACGGAGGCTGTGAGCTGCCTGGGGAAGCCTTTGTGGGGGAAAGGCCAGCCTGGGAGGTGCAACAGGGAGGTGGGAGCTTGGGAAGGGGGTTATTTACAGGGACACTGTTTGCTTTGGAGCAGACCCATGTGTTTGAACATGACTGTCATCTGGGAAAACCCACCCAGATGGGGGAAAACTCCCCCACCAGTAATAAACCCCCCAGCAACTCCTCAACACCAGCCTAATCTTTTGCACAAGCCATTGAAGAACAAGAGGAGGAAGGAAAAGTCTCCTCCTCTCCAGGCTGTGTGACCCCAGAGGTGCTGCTGGGCACAGACTGGGACAGGGAGAAGCAAAGCCAAAGTGGTGACATTTTCTGCTGGAGAGACCGGGGGACAAAAGGACGCTGATATATGTGGGGGGCTGTTATCATCTGGAGAGGAACATGGGTCTTAAGGTCCTTTGCAAGTGTTTTGGGAACAATGGAGTTTGGGAAACCATTAAAGGAAAGGCATGAGGTGCATGTGGCTCAGCTCACAGGGCTCCTCTGTGGAACAGAAGGTCACATCAGGACTTGGTGCACTGCACCAGCTGGGCCAGGAGCTCTGTTCCACACTTGCCTCCAGCATGGAAGGTCAAATGACGGTGTCTGCTGAGCTGGGATGTTTGCACAGGTGGGCTCACACACTCCCTGCACTGCCACGTGAGGCCTTTCGGCTGCCGTTTAAACTGAGATGAAACGACAGCGTGCCCAGCCCTTGAGAACAGGACTCCCAAGCAGCCCCTCTGCTCATTTAGGAACGGCAAATTAACCTAATCTCACATGTTTTAGCCTTCAGAGAGCTGGACAAGGGGGATCCCAGGGCTGCAGCTCTCCAGGAGCTGGCTGCAGTGCTCTGAGCACAGCTCTGTCTGGACGCTCCCTTGTCTAGCGCCTGCCTGGAGCCACTGCACAGCTGGTCAGCCCTGGCAGGAAGGGCTGCAGGACACAGAGGGGACCACCACGAGGAATGAGTCTGCCCTCTTGCACAACACAGGCCATGAGTCATATCTTGCTTCAAGTCCAAGTTGTGGTTGAGCTAAAGTGTACTCTGAAAAAGAACACCCCACTCTGGTGTCCAGGTTTCCAGTGTCGTAAGATGTCCAGACAGAGTTCCACTAAGACAAACCTCTCAAAACACTTCCATTCAGAGTTCACCAGTTGAGGGAGGGGGTTACTCTGGAGTTTGAGAACTTTGTAATCTCACTAATCAACATTCCTTGGCCATTTCTTCCCATGGGGGCACTGCATGGCTTTGCAGGGTGGGTGCCCATGCTGGGGTGGCCAGGCTTGCAAAGACCAGCCCCTCACACCTTCCTCTCTGTCCCCCCTCACCTGCTGCTGCGTTTGGCCCTTGCTCTTGCATAGTAAGCTTCGTAAGACTTCGGTTTCAGCTCCAGAGCTTTAGTGGCAAACTCCTCCGCCATCCCAAAATCCTGCCATTACAATAGGTGTGCAGGTCAGTGACTGAACAGATATAGAAATAAAAATATATACAGCTTGGGAAGAAAACAAACTTAATATGGATTTTTTTTTTGCACATAGCACAGAAAACTTGATGGTACTGGAATGTTTCACATGGGTTCAACATCATTTACAGCCAGAGAGTTATGATGGCATGTCCAAAAAAATCTCTGGTAATACCCTTGCTGTCATCACCTCCAGAGGCCAGAGTGCCACTGGTTCTGTTCTCATTGTATCCTCAACAAGTGCATGCAGATCCCTCTCCAACAACCTACAGTCTTGAGGAAACATCTGGTCTTGCAGAGGCTGGAATGTTATCTCATGAAGGATTTTTTTCCATAGTTGAAAGCCACAGGAAACCTTTCCCACGCCCTCCCCCTCCCTCTCTGCACCACACTGACATTCTTCAAGGGGCTGACGAAAGCTGCCTGTGAAGGACTGTGATATCTCAGTGACCTGTCTGGCAAAGGTCCCCTATCAGTGCCACCTGTCCCACTGTTCCTCACTTCTCCCCTACACCTCACCTGGGAGGATATTTTGGGAGCAGACAGTGTGGGATGGGACTGCTCTGGGTGCTTTCCAGTGGCAGTGCCATGAGACCAGACTGTCAGCTCTGGTTCAGCCCTTGCTGCTGTCCTCCCTTGCCTTGTCCCAAATGCTTCATGTCCCACTAAGCTCAGCTTAGTTGAAGCTCAGCATTTGTGAAGGAGAACTTTTCCCTGTGGAGAGGATTCCATTCCACAGCTAAGCTTTGGACTGCTGACCTGAGCAGCTCTGGGAGAAAGGAACAGTGCTGCTCCTGATTTGTTCAAAACCATGGGAAACCAACTCTTGCTATGGGGATGCCCTGCCTGGGGACGCTCATATTCTATTTGTACCTTCAGTAGCAGTTACTGAGGAGATATTGCCCAACAGACTCAACTGGGAAGGTAGTCAAGGCAGGTATTTTTATGGTCTCTTCTACAGGTGCAAAAACTGCAGAAGCAATTAAAAGCCTCTGAACTTTTCTCGCCCAAAACCTCACATTCTCCAGTTAAGGATAAATCAAAAATCTTGTCCTTAAAGCACAGGACAAGAGCTGGAGTTGCTGAGCTGTGAGTTGGCTGGTTTAAAGTCAAGTTTCACACTTCTTCTCCAAACTGTGTTTGTTCCCCAGCACTAAGATTTTACTCCCATTGCTTTCCATCCTTCTCCCTCACATCTTAAAGAAATGAAGGTGTCACTTCCCCTCCAGTGTAACCTTTGCTGGCTCATGGCCTCGGCAGAGATGTCACTTTTTGAGTTTAAGGGGACTTTAATTTGTGGAGGTGAAAGCCCCTGCACGCCAAGCCAGGGGAGGTGGCACTTGTCTGCTGGCAGAACAGGAATCTGCACGAGCTGGTCTGGATGCTGCCAGATGGGAAAGGGGAGAGTGACAGGGATCTGGCAGTTCTGGGAGGAGAGGGAGCCTGTGGGGGTGTTTCTGGATGAGTCACTGCCCTGGGGAAGTGCAAACCCCCTAAGCATATGCTGCTTCATTTGAAATTAATTAGTATTCAAAGGAGCACATCTCCTGGCTCCTCCTCACCGCTGCCCCAGAAAGCTGGAAAATGCCTCCACCCACCCCCATGTGACGACGTGAACATCATCATCAAAAGGGAGCAATAAAATATTCAAAGAGCTATAAACATAGCAATGAATTTTTAATCACCTGAAATGAATATTGAATCATTACTGCTTTTGAATCATAAAATGTCAGTGCCCCATGAAGGACAAACCAGGTTGGACAGAGGAGAGATCTGAGAGGTCAGAGCACGGTCAGGGATGGACATGTCTCTGCAGGGGCACAAAGGTGGCAAGTTGGGTTTAAGGCCATGAAAAGAGGGGGGACTCACGTTCATTTTCCTTCGACACCGGGAGAGGTTGAGGAGCAGTGACACCTTCAGTTCACGGAAGGTTTTCAGGTCTTCTCCAAACCCTTCCCTGGGGAACTTTTTCAGGGCGTACTGGTAGCGCTGGGCAGCCTCTTTCACTTTACCTTTCTATTAGAAGGAAAACATGTCAAAACACACCCTTGGGTTGAGTTTGCTTCCCCGCAGAGAACTCACTCGCCAGCCCCAGGAATGTTTTAGGTGGTTAAGGAAACACAACTTCACTATTTAGCTCTTTTCTAGAAAGGAAAGCCAGAACATTTGATCAAGGGAACATCTGAGCTGGAAAGGCAGATGCCTCGTGCAAGTTGAGATCTCCCACTTGGTACAGAGCTGTCACACTACAGCAGGAAACACGGCAGAACTGGTGTTAGCTCGATACAACTCCATCTGCTTCTTGGCTGGATGGTCTTTTGGGCTGGGTGATCAGCTACCCATTCCTGGAGAACACCCTCCACCCAAAGTTTAATAGTAAGGAATAGGAATTGTGGGACTTTGGGTGGAGCTCTGGGGCTCAGAGAAGCCTCTGCAACAGCAAAGATAAATGTTACAGCACCAACGTGGCTCTGAACTTGGACAAACAGGTTGAGATCCACCTCCCTGAATTTAGACATCTAAAAATCAGGTGTCTCCATCTAAGTCTGGTAACTGGGTTCCTTTTATAGTTATTGGGACGCAACAGTCACCTTCAAAGGTGACTCATCTTTGCTATTTTGGGTACCTAATTTTGGGATGGGATGATGTGAGCCCTGGAGGGGGGCAGCCACAGAGCCAGGGTGAGAGAAAGAGGGCAGGATGGGATCTAGGACACAAGCCGTTCCTGATGACCCAGACATAAATTTTGCAGCTATGAATAGTGAGTTTTAAAAACTTGTAGACTCAGGTTTCTCAGCTGTATCGGGTATCTCTGGCAGATAACTCCTGTTACAATGCCAGCTTTGCATATTTTCTGCTTCACCCTTAGAGCCTCACAGTGAATCATTGTTGTACTTGCACATTTTCTGTGTGTGTGCAAATCTCCAGGTTTTTAAGATTGGCTTAAAATAAACAGAGAGCAAAAAAGACACTCTACTGTAGCAGTGGAATGTCTCCCACGGGCTACAGGACACAACAAAGCCAGTTGTGTCCTGACAATCTGCCTTCATTGCAAAAAGTTTCTTCCAGCACTTTTTCTGGGATATCCTATCTCGTTGCCCCGTTCCCCAGCAGTGAGCCCACCAGGTAAGGACAAGGTTGCCAGATCTGATGCCATGGCAGCAGCACTCCCAACAAACACTTGGGTTCTGGTGCTTTCAAAGAGGAGACGAGGTGCTGGCTCAAATCCAGAGCGACTTGGCTTTGCTTCAGCTTTGTTACAGATCTGGGCAATCAATCCCCCCTTCCCCAACCCCACTAACCAAAACCAAATGGTTTGGAACACCAGAAATGCTTTGACCTGCCACAGGTTAAGGAGGCAGCATTAGAACCATGGTTTGGAGAAGCCCAACCACTGACCCAACGCAGCCCAAACCTCCCACCAAGAGATGCTGCAAACTGCATCTGTTGCCTTTTCTCAAACCCACTCTCCTTACCTTATAAAACATGTCTCCCTCCTCCATCAGCTTGCTCAACAGGATGATCATGATGTCAGGTTTGGAGGTTGCCATCGCCCATGTTGCTGGACCTGTAGTGTACAGGATGCATGATGGGTAAAGAACTCATACAATGCAAGGGTGGTAGGAAGCTGGGTGGAAAAAATACCCTGGGGTGGGAATTTCTGCTGGAGAGAACAACTTGGCATGGTCAAAGGGTAGAGTGCTCCAAATGATTGAGCTGATAATTCCTCTGGCACTTAAATTAATGTCATCCCCACTGCACTGGTTTTTCTTTGCAGTCATTAAAGCCAATCCCAGTGGTCTGGGAAAGGATGGAGCCGTTTCCACAAGAGGGCAGTGCTGAATGTGGAACTGGCTGGGATGGGGGAAACAAACCGTATTTAAAAGGAAAAATCAGAGTGGTTACATAAAAGTATTTCTAAATTAAAATCTCTGCAAGTGTACTGGGGAAATCTGCAGTTCGGCTGTCGATAGGTGGTTTGTGGTTAAGTGGATTGTGATTTCCAGCTTCACAAGATGTGAAAGACTAGAGTAGAAAATCCATTAAGGCAGAAAATACGACAAAGGGAAGGTCCTGTCTAAGTGCTGCTGGTGCCGAGGGCGTCGTGGGGCTGGGGACACTCTGCCTCTGCACAGGGCCCACCCTGCAGAGCCAGCTCTGATCTCAAGCACTAATACTGTGAGGGAAGGGGTGGCAAAAATTTGGGGACAACTCATTAGTGGGGGTGAAGAATAAGTCAACAATATTCTATAAGTATATTCAGTACGTTTTGGGGGAAGGAGGTTAGTTTTTGAGTTCAAGTTATTCTCTGCAACAGTCATTAAAAAAATTATTTGAAGGTGAGGTAAATTAAAAGATTAGAGGTGTTGGGGTCGCATGCAGGCTAAATCAAACAGGAGAAAGCAAGGCTGACAAAGCTATCAGATCGAAGCTGATGCTGACAGCAATGAGATATACCTCGTGGGCGACTCGGTAACGTCTGACAACCTTCAAAGAAAGGAGAAAACAAAAAGTTGTAGGAGAGAGGGGGGAAAAATGGATGAAGGTGTGAAAAAAAAAAAAAAAGAAAGGAAAAAAGCAGCTGTGAGAGGCAGGCAGCAAGGAAGCCAATGCACCAGCAAAATCCCCTTTCACAGGAAAACGTAACGTGAGCGGCTGTGTGGCGCAGTGCAGGTACACTGAGGTCTGGAAGCATACACAGAGCGAGTGAACGCAGCAGCTCACAGCAAGGCATGGACAGAGTACACTTGTCGACTCAGACTAGTAAAGATAGAAAAAGCATTACCAGAGGAAAGACCTTGCCAAAGAGACAGTTGTTTATTGATTAACTTTTGCTAAAGTAATACGACAGCAAAAAAAAAAATAAAATAATAGTCCCCGTTTCACTAGGAAGGCAGTGCTGACTCGCCGGCTGGGGCTGAGGCTGCCTCGGGGTTACACTCGTGTTTTTTAGGATGCCAGCCCCACTGCTCGAGTCCTGCCTGAGCACAGAGCCGATGGCAGAGTCCCCTTGTCCCTACCTATCTTTGCTCCTTTCTTCAGGAGGGTGACGACGACCGAGGTGTTGCGGCAGCCGACGGCCCTGTCGAGGGGCCGCATCCCGCTGTAGTCGACGTGCTCGATCATGGCCCCATGGTCCACCAGGAACTGAACCTGCAAGGAGAAGCCCAACGGTCAGTTCTGCTCCTGGGAGAGACCTACATGAGGTGTTGGGGATGTAGGACAAGCAAAAGCTTGTTCTGCTCCACTGGTTGGGCTAAGAACACCTCCACGGGGTCTAAGGGTACATCGTGGGCAGCAGGTCGAGGGAGGAAATTCTGCCCCTCTACTCCACTCTGGTGAGATCCCACCTGGAGTGGTCCAGGTCCCCAGGGGTCCCCAGCACAGGAAGGACATGGACTTATTGGAGCAAATCCAGAGGAGGCCACGGAGATGTTCTGAGGCCTGGAGTCCTTCTGCTCTGGAGACAGGCTGGAAGAGTTGGGGGCATTCAGCCTGGAGAACAGAAGGCTCCAGGGATACCTTAGAGTCCCTTCCAGGGCCTAAAAGCGCTCCAAGAGAGCTGGAGAGGGACTTTGGACAAAAGCCTGGAGTGACAGGACAAGAGGGACTGACTTCAAACTGAAAGAGAGTAGGTTTAGATTGTATATTGGGAAGAAATTCTTCCCTGTAAGGGTGGGGAGGGGCTGGAATGGAATTCCCAGAGAAGCTGTGCCTGCCCCATCCCTGGAAGTGTTCAAGGCCAGGTTGGATGGGGTTTGGAGCAACCTGGGACAGTGGAAGGTGTCCCTGCCCATGGCAGGAGGGGTGTTGATGGTCTCTAAGGTTCCTTCCCACCCAAACCATTGTGTGATTCCCCGATCAACCTCTGTTGGAAGCACCCACATGAACGAAAGATCGGGACCTTCTGTGCTTATTGCTACAGCAAGCTGAACTGTACAATTCTTCTGGCTTTTACACCAACTGCCCATTTCCTTCTGGGTGCATCCCCGGCCACTCACCACCTCTGCGTCGCCGTAGAACGCCGCCAGGTCCAGCGGCGTGCGCCCGTTCTTGTCCGCGTGGTCGGTGGCAGCTCCGTTCTCCACCAGGGAACGCACCACGGGCAGGTGGCCCTTCAGACAGGCCCAGCTCAGGGCTGTCAATCCCTCCTTGTCCATCAGAGAGATGGAGGCACCTGAAAGGACAAGCATCAGTTCACTCCAGCGCTCTCTCAGCTGTTGAGCGCCGCAAACCACCCGCTCGGTGACGACAGCTTGTTTTCAGAGAGCTCTGTACATAATTATTAATTCCTTTATTAACGTTTCTCCCACCACAGATCCCACCCTCCGTGGCGACTTCAAATGCACCAGTGGGAACTGTGGCAAACGAGTTGATTCACACCAAGCTGCAAACTCTTTCGCACCTACCTCTGTGGGCTTTCCTGGCAAACATCTGAGCAGTAGGGTGGATCTGACATCCCTCGTCTGAGACATCAATCTTTCTTTTTAACTGCTTTTTTTTTTATTTAATCCAACCCCATTCCAGCCTGTGTGAGTCAGAGATGAAGACCATTTTGCTGTTTCAGCAGGTCACCACGGGGAACTAAGTCAATTCGGCTCAGTTCTCCTAAAAAAGCACATATTTTCCCCTTTTCGCTCCCCTCCCCTTTACCCAAAACGACACAATTTCCAGCAGTATTTCTCCCTGAACTTTACCCAATATAAATACAACATTGTGGGATAAACTCCTGCCAACTGCAAGCCAAGGAGAGAGGGACTTGACGTTTTCTTGGATGAGGGAATGGCGCTGCCATACCAACGGGTCAGTGCTGCTCCACACGGCATATGGATACGGAGAGGAGAGCTGAACAGCAGCTTCAACTGAACACTCCTCTTCATGGCATGAAGACAACTCCTGTTGCCATGGCACAGAGTGTGCAGGGATGATCCACACCAGCTCTGCTCCTCCGAGGAGCTGCAGCTACCTGTGGGATGCTCCTGCCAGCAGATGGGAGGGATTGCGGTTGCAGTGGTTTTCTCCTGGAGGTGAACTCTAAACTTCCCAGCATGAGGTCTTTCCTGGCTCCAGAAGAACGCTCAGCAGGTGGGGGAGGGATGTGGATTTCCTGACCGTTCCTGTTCATCCCAGCTGACGTGTCCCCCGTTCACAGGCGTTGCCTGGCTGGCAGCAGAGTGAGAGGGCTCCCTGCTGGCACAGGGTGTTGTTTGGGGAGGGAAATAACATGGCAATGTTTTCTCCAAGAGTGTTCAGACACCTCTGCCCAGCCCCGAGCTGCCAGCACGGCATGGAGTGTCAGTGAGGGAGGGGACAACCAGGAGCGCCAAAGGGGGACACGGCAGCTCCAAGGTGCAGGCCAAGGGATGACAACTTAGAATCACAGACTCATTAGGTTGGAAAAGACCTTTAGGATCATTAAATCCAACTGTTCCCCCAGCACTGCCAAGCACTAACCCATGTCCCCAAGTGCCACATCTTGAAATCTTTTAAATCCCTCCAGGGATGGTGACTTCACCACTGCCTGGGTCAGGCTGTTGTAGGACTTGACAACCCTTTCAGTGAAGAAATTTTCCCTAATATCCAAACTAAACCTCCCTTGGAGAAATATGAGGCTGTTTCCTCTTGTCCTGTTGCCTGTTAGCAGGGAGCAGAGCCTGACCCCACCCTCAGGTTTCTCCCTCCTATCAGGGAGTTGTGGAGAATGAAAAGGTCCTCCCCAAACCCCCTTTTCTCCAGGCTGAGTCACCCCAGCTCCCTCAGCTGCTCCTCATCAGACTTGTGCTCCAAACCCTTCCCTAGCTCCACTGCCCCTCTCTGGACACCTCAACACCTTGCCAGCCTTCTCTCCCATTGCCCACACTGCACCCAGGAGCTCCTCTGGAGCTCTGGGAAAGCCCTTCCACATGATCCTGAACTGACCCAAGGACAAGTTTTGCTCAGGATAAAGCCTCATTTCATTCCTGCTTATTTGAACCAGACACTTCCTTCCATTCAAACCATCAAAGTCTTCTCTTGTGTTCTCCCTCTGACTCTTCTGGAGCAGGTAAGAAAGTTCCTGCAGTAAGAGGGAATCCTGGAAAGCCACGTCATCACTCAGCCTTCCCACTCGCCAGTGGAAGGACACCCAGTACCACAGGGTGACAGGGCCAGGCTCCAGGGTGTCCCTGCAGTGCCAGCTGAAGGGCTGAGCGAGCAGACAACACACACCACCCCAGGAATGCCAAGAGGCTGCTCCAAGGCAGGCTGGGCATGACCTTCACAGAACACCAAGCTCCAGAAACAGCCCTGGCTCCCAGCAGAGCCTCTGCTTGACTCCAAAGACATCCTTCACCCTTCAGGGATCTCTGACCTATTTAGCACCGAGGCAGCCAGACAGGAAACAAAGGGATGGTTTTGAGGCCAAGTGGCTTAAGGTGATCTCATGGGACTGATCTATCCTGCAGCGGGAGGGATTTTGGCTGGGAAAACCCAGTTTGCTTCTGGGAAGGGCTTGGCTGCTCCTTCCATAAAAACACCCAAGTGGCCAAATGTAAGAGTTCATCACAGTTTGGGCTGGAAGGGACCTTTAAAGTCATCTAGTCCAGCCCCTGCCATGGGCAGGGACACCTTCCACTAGTCCAGTTTGCTCCAAGCCCCGTCCAACCTGGCCTTGGACACTTCCAGGGATCCAGGGGCAGCCACAGCTTCTCTGGGCAACCTGTGCTAGGGACTCATGACAAAAAATTTCTTGCATCCACCTAGTCTGATGATTTAATTATCCAGCAGGCACAGCAATGAGCCAGCTCCAGGGAAAAACGAAAGCCTGACACTTGGAACATCAAAAAGCTGCAGGATGTGGGATCTGTTGTGCACAGAGGATGCACCCAAAGCTGCAGTGCCCAGTCAGGGTGATCCTGAGGTAGTAAAAACATCAAGGGATTGCTTTTTGTAGGAAAAGGAGATTCAGAATAAAGCTCCCTCCAACAGGAACGAGCACCAGGAATTATTTTGCTTTGTGTCACACTGATTCATATAAATACCAGCTTTAGCAGAGCTGCCACCAGGGAAGTTTAATTCCCTGTTCACACCCCCATTACTTTGGGGTGTTAAGAGGTGGGTAACTCCAAAAATTGGGGTTTCCAATTGATTGATGACTCCAACTCTGCTAATGAAACATGTTTACAAATGCTGACTGTGTTAATCAAGTACAGTCAAATGAGATTTGCTTTGCAACACACTAATTAATGCTTATGGCTTATGATTCACACAGTTTTGATTTTAATGAAACATTGAGCAGGACTGTCAAAGCCATTTTAATTAAAACACTCCACATTTCACTGCACTCTGCCCAAGATTGAGTTACCTTTTCAGGACCATGTGTTACACTGGTAGGTAGTGGAGTTTACTAAGCTAATTACAAGAACGGACCTTTTAAAGTAAAAATTTTCATATTTTTGACTTCTTGGACTCTCAGTGTCCAAAGAGCCAGAGAAATATTATGTGCATTTACTGGTAATCCCATATTTTAGATCAGATTATCTGGTATTTTCATCCTCCTCTGAACCACTGAGTCTTAAGCAACATGCACAGTTCTCAAGTCGGGCAAAAAAAATATCACTTATTTTAAGCCTTTTAACACAGACTCAGTCAAGCTGTGAAAGGGGCCATGTTTCATCTCAAACACGGAGAGTGTTAATTTGAGATTTAAAAATAACAGAACACCAGAAAGGAATTAATTGAATTAATTCCTAAGAAGCTCAAACTGATCTTTGTCACATCCCTGTGCAGGTTACAGCACTGAGCAGCAAGAATCCCACTGGCTGTGGCTCAGGACAGACAGACAGGCAATGGGAAACTTGTTCTTGGCAATTTTACAGTGAAAAAAATATTCTTAAAACTACTACATAAAATATTCAAGTGTCTCACTTTTTGGCTAAGAGGGCAGACACAGGCACTTACGAGATGAAGAAAATATCCCTTCCCAAAGAGGGATCTTACCTGGAATAAAAATATCAAATAACAATACAAGAATTAAATGCTATTTCTAGAAAAAAAAAATTAAAAGATCGCCCAACCAAACCAAACAAACACTGGCTATTTGTACAAAATAAAAGAAGAAGGAGTCTCAAAAGAAGTCCAGCAATAAGAGCTGATGGTGTTCCCACGGGTTGTTCTGACTCACCTCCAGCAGATTCAGCAGAACTGAGCAAAACTGAACCACGTTGGCTGAGTAAGTCCCAGTGAGGGAGAGTTATCAGCCACTGCAAGGGCTGAGCAAAGGGAAGCTGTGGGTGCAGAGCTGCAGAGCTCCCTTCAAAAGAATTCTGATTTATTTTCAGCAAATCCACCAACCCCTCGCTTGTTCCAGGGTCTTACCCTCCTGCTGCTGCTGGAGTCACAAATGTGGGCAACAACACAAGAGCTAAAAATGGCGGAATTAACAAGTGTCCCCAGCTCTGGTCTGTGCCTGAGCCTTGCTGCCCATTCCACAGCGATGCCCACGGTTCCGTGGCATCGTGTGTCCATTCTTTGTCTAAGGGCAACACTCCCAGTGTGGTTCAAGGGCACATTTTTAACGCTCAAAGCACCTGGGATGTTATTCTGTTTGCTAACTCTGATGGGTGGGTTTGTGAGCACCAAAGACACAACTCAACACACAGCCAAGATTAAGGCCATGATTACTCCAGCCTCGTTCTCCAAGGAGCTGGACAGGTAGTGGTGTGACCGGTGGGGTTACAGGGCCTACCCTGACACTCCAAACTCCAGCTGTGCAGGAGCCAGTGAGGTGGGACTGGCCACGGGTGGACTCCAGAACTCCCCAAGACATGCTCTAACCTTGTGCAAGCAGGAACTCCACGGTGCCCAGGTGCCCCTCGGACGCTGCCATCATCAGCGGTGTCCTGCCCTGCTTGTCTGCCATGTTCACGTCGGCGCCGTGCGTGAGCAGGAGATCCACGATCTGCAACACACAGAGCCAGCACATGGAGACCCAGCTGGGAAGAGGCCAGAGAAGAGAAGAGCAGAGCAAAACCCACGTCCTAAAAACTCACAGCCCTCAAGGCCCTCTGGGGTTGCAGGAAAAGGAGATTCAGAATCAAGCTCCCTCCAACAGGAATTATTGTACTTTGTGTCACACTGATCCATATAAATACCAGCTTTAGCAGAGCTGCCACCAGGGAAGTGGAAGATTAGGGATTGGGAGAAGCAATGGACGTATAAGGGCAGGAAAAATGACCTTCTAAGTCAGGAGCATCCCATTTGCTTCCCAAATCGTGAGATAGCCAGAGAGGCTGGGGCTGCCCGATCCCTGGAAGTGTCCAAGGCCAGGCTGGATGGGGCTTGGAACAACCTGGTCTAGTGAAAGGTGTCCCTGCTCATGGCAGGGGGTTGGAACTGGATGGTCTTGGAGTCCCTTCCAACCCAATTTATTCCACCATTCTATGGTAAGACAGGACTTAAGCAAAGCTGTCTGTAAGCAACAAGAGCTGGGGGTGATTGGAGCATCAACATCACTTCTTCTCGCTCTGCTCATTCCCCACAAGAGCTGGGGCTCCTCTTCTCCACCCCAATTCCAGCGAGACGGAAGGGAAGGCCCGACCCCACACCTGAGGCTGTTCTAAGGAGCGAGGGACCGTCTCACTCACCTGCCAGTGGCCCTGCCTGACGGCGCTGAAGAGCGGGACGACCCCGCGGCGGTTGGGCTGTGCCACGGCCGCGCCCTGCTCCAGGAGCAGCCGGCACACCTCCAGCTTCCCGCGCCCCGCCGCCGCCGTCAGAGCTGCGGGAGAGAGGACAGCGGTCAAGGGAAGGAGCCCCACGCTCAGTGGAGTGTTCTCCTACCTGGAGATGGGTCTTTCTGCTGGACACCTGAGTGGTGAGGCCTGGAATGCCAAACACATCCCATGACAGGCAAAACGGACAAGGAAACTTGGCTGGATCGGTACGGTTCTAGCTCTTGTCATTACAGTTCTAGCTTTTCTCACTTTAGTTATCTCAAAGGTCAGCTCTTTCATGAAAACATCACGGAAAGAGGCTGGTTGAGTCAATCACCTTTCATTATTTTCCCCAAGTCTCAGTGAAACGTGGTAAGAACCACAATAAAATAATGTACAGGCACAGGTGGCTGAGGTTCAAGTGTGACTGATGTCCAAGGTATGACCAAGGTTCAAGGTGTAGATGAGCCTACAGGTGTTACTGAGGTTCAAGTATGGCTGCAAAGAAATGTGGAGTCCCATCACATGAAACCTTCACCATTTTCCCCACTGCCAAGGCCACGGGCTGTGAGGCTGAAGGGGTCTGAGAAGGGGCTCAATCTCCAGAGAAAACACAGGTCTTCAGGTACTTGACAAGACCTTCTTCAACCTGTCCTTGACTCATCCCACCATGACCACAAGGGAGCAAGTAAGGGATCAAGCAGTGAGCACCATCAGTTCCCTAAAAGACACTCATGCCAGTCACATTTGTGGCTTTTCTCTGTCCCAACAAGCACAGAGCAGTGTAATTCACATGGAGGACTCTTATCTTCCATATCCCACTTTAGCCTGTAGATCTTTGAAACCATGGAAAAAAATGGAAAGCAAAAGAGGATGAATATGATCACCTGTTCTCCACGAAAAATGCTAATTCTGGGCTTTTTTTCTGGTTAGGGCTGATCCTACCAGCCAGGGTCTTTGTGCAAACCCCAAATTACCTCTCATTTCCAAATGCTCACAATATCACAGGTGGGCAGAAGCAACACCTGAGAGCTCTTTCCCTGACAAAATGTGCTCTGTTAACTCCCCAGGTGTGGTTGGGTTAGAGAAGACACATTCCATCTGAAAACAGTCCCAAGTTCAGGACCTGCCGGTGACTCGTTTCGGTGTTAATTTTAGACTTCTTGGTTCCTCCCTCTCCCTAACTTTCTGTGCACTTCAGCACAGCTCCTCTGGCTCCACGCTCTGCTGCTTCTGGTAGGAGTTGGAGCAGAAGGTGGGAGTTTATTTCTGCCTGACGTCGCTTGTTTGTTCTTTGAAGTACATTTCTGTGGGTTGGCTGATTACGAGGTGTTGATGGCTTTCCAACTGCAACACTGTTAATGCTGGGGGATTTAATTAATTCTCGACTCTGCTCCACGTTGTGGTGGAGTTTTCTTCTCTTGGGGTTGAGAGACACCAAGAGTTAAAAAGAAAAATCATCTCGCTGCCACGAGCAGAACGTTCTGCAAAATCTATAATTGGATCCATGTGGGTTTTAAACGTAAGCTACAAATACAGGAGGAGGCAGAGGGATTGGAATGCAGGGCTCTGGGTTCTATTTCTAAACCTGCCTGCACTTGAAATGTTGCAGGTTAATTTGAGGTATTTCACGTCAAAATGAGTTATGTTTGCAACAATGAGAATACTGTAAATCACTTCAGTGTTTGGTGTTCATCGGGAAATGTTCTTTGGAGAAGACTTTACTGAAACAGGATGATTTGATTCATGGTTTCTCCACTCTCTCTTGAAATCCCTTCTGCCTACATTGACATCTCTTTTTGCTGCTGTGTTCCTCAGGGTCCAAGAAACTGGTGTGGGAATGTGGCTCCAGCTTGTCCTCTGAAGCTCCAGCTCCAGGGAAAAGCTCCTGTGCTGCTGAGCAGCCAGACCTTGCTCCTTCAGGAAGGTTCCACACTGATGATCTGGATTTGCCTCCTGCTGCTGAGAAAAACCCATCCAAGCTTGTCTTGTATAGTGCACAGATACCTAAATCCTCATAAATGGAGAAACTCAGCCCAGCTGGACCCCAGAGCCCATTAAGGCACACCCAGACCTCACCAGTGGGAAGGCTGGACTGGAGACTCCCCCGTGGTCCCTCACATGCCATAGCTGGACAGGCTGCTGCTCCAGCCCTCAAACCAAAGCAGCTGTTGCCATCCTGTGGCTCGCCTCAAGCCCAGAGCAGTATCCTGTGGCTGGTATCCAAGTCCAAATGCTCAATTAACCTACTTCAGGAAGAACTCCAGCAGTACCTGGTTCTTTTAGCACTCCTTAGATGGACTCATCGACCTTACAAGGGCTTTTAGTCTAAAAAACACACATGACACAAGGTAAGGCTGTGCCTGTGCGTGAAAGGAGATTGGAAAAGCCAAGGAAAGGTGATATGAGGAACTAAAGGAGATGGAAATGGGTTGGTTTGAAGTTTTACTGTCTGCCAGGGAGCTCCCGTGGCCCAGCACAACCAAGGTGAGTCCACCAAGGAGCAGCAAGCAGGATACTGGGTTGGCAAACAGGAATGTTCATTTTGCAGTTGTATCACGAGGATGCAGCTCCAGGAAGACAACTCGCCGGGCAATAACCAGGTCTTGGCATAAACACCATAAAACAACCCCTGTGTTTCTCAAAACACAGCTCAACCAAAACCTGAGACCAGGCTCAGGTGTGGACGTGCCCCTCTCCATCAGCACCAAACCGCGGCCTCCAACACCAGGGATCTGCCACAGCACATTCTGTCTTTGCCGCTGTGCAGAGAAGGTCTGTTTTCTTAGAGAAAAAAACAACTTCATCTGGAGAAGGAATCATTCAAGTGCTGCTCTCCAGCACGTGTATCTGTTTCCCAGCCTGGCAGCAAGACAAACAGCTCAGCGGAGCCGTTCTTTGCACCTCCGACTCCGATGGACTGAGCACAAAGTGACTCGGATACTCTTCTGCTGGGTTTTGATATTGGTTTTGTCCCAGGGGGAAATACTCCATCTGGAGCTGGCTGTAGTGTGCTGTCAGCAATTCCTAAACTTATGATGTCACTTGGCACTGGCATTTGGATGATATCAGGCTGATATCACCAAGCCAAGCACTCGGCTCTGCTCTGTGGAAGATTAGACACGAGCAACAAGTATCAAAAGCCAGACAACCAGGATTCAGAGTTCTAAAGGAGACTGCTATTTTTAGGTGGAAACCAGCACTCCTCTTCAAGTTTATTTAAACTCTCTATTTACCTTTGGGGAAATAATAATAATATAATAATGTGAGAGTCATGAGTTTCATACAAACTTACAGACTTGTCCCACGCAGACCAAAGTCTGCTCACTTTGGTGGTTGGCTCACTTTTGCTCACTTACCCACCTCACCAATTTTAATGAGATAAACAGATATTCCTTTGTGGTGAGCCCTCAATTTGTGTGTGATTTGTGAATCACAAATTCATATTCCCAACTGTCCCAGTTACTCAAAAAACCCTCTCTGACAAGAGAAACTCCCAGGTGCCTGGTTAGTCCAGCTTTTGGCATTGTTGGGGGCAGAGGTATGGGAAGGAGGACAACAGAGATGGAAACAGGCAGGTTGGGAATGTCAGAGCTGCCCAGGGCATGGGACAGGAAGGGAAGAGCTTATCTGCAGTGCCTGATGCTGCCCATGGGGTTACTTTGCAGGGCTGAGCGGCTTTAGGTCAAACTCTGAAGGCATCTGATCATGGTTCTATTTAAATGACAGTCCTTGAGACCCAAATACCAGAGAACAATTTGGATGATCCATCTCAGGACTGGTCACCACTGTGAGCTCACTGGTACAAAGCCCCTGTCCTGTTACCAACACTCGACCATTTCACTCGGTTGATTCCACATCCAATTCTTTTTTATTTCCCATGACACCCCAAAGCACTTTGAAATTGCTTATTTGTTTCTGTTGCCCTTATTTCCTCTAATAATGGCCCCATGGCCTTGCTGCTCAGTTCCATTCCCATGGGGACAGGAGTTGGCTCCTTCCCCAGTGCCCTGCCAGTGGCCCGGGGCAGCCTGGCCGCTCCCTGGGCTCTTCCCAGGACACCTCATCCCTCAAGCTTTGTCCTTTGGAGCTCAGGGCAATGCTCTCTGGCACACTCCATTCATCACATGGCTCTAATAAGGCCACATTTTCAAAGGCACAGTTACAAACCAGCTCCAAATACAACCCTGCCCCCTCCAAAGCAGAAACAAGGCGAGCAAAGACTGAGCCACACTCCAGCCGCCCTCTGTCCCCTTGGATTGTGTCATTTTTAAGCCAAGCTGACAGAATCACCATCCGTGCCCTGCTCCCCAGACAGGAACATTACCTGGGTGTATGAACCTGACAGCAACATCAAGTGGAGCAGTGAGTTGAGTACAAATGACAGAGGATAATATTTATGAGGTCGCTGGAGTTAAAAGCAAACAACTCCATGCTGGAATGGCTCAAGAAATGGAGATGTTAGTGGAGCAGAAGGGATAGATGGCTGTCTTTGTTTTGGGAGAAGTCAGGAAAGAAGGGATTTTGTATTGTACCCATCAATGCAGAAATGAAGGACTTCACTGAAGGGTATTTGTTTAACTACCAGGTGCTAAATAATGAGGAGTTTTCAGAAAATCAGTGGATAATTTAACAACCATAGTGCTGCATGTAATGGAGAGGGGGAGAGAGAAACAGGGAGATGTTTTGGATAAATATGCCCAATATCAAGAGAGAGAGCAGAACTGAGTGTCCATCTCATGTTTCAGGGAAATCAGTGACCTGGTCAGAATGCTGAGTGCCTCACACTCCTGAAAAGAGCCAGGAGCTGTAGAAGCTCAGAATTTTCAAATCCAAACTTCTCTGTTTTCCTTAAGCTGAGTGCAAAGCTCCAACCTGGCCCCCCTGTTAATCACCTGGCATCAAACCAGAGGAATTGATCCTTCTCCATCAAAGCAATGCCTGGGATCAGGGATGCATCAGGGGCAGGAAGCCCAATAAAAGAAACACAAACATGCACAAAGAAGCTACAGCATCTACAGAAATCACCTGTCTCTCCCCAGAGGCTGTCAAAGCTGTTGATCTGTGCTCTCTCCACCTCCTCTTCGTCTTTCTCTGGCAGATCGAGCAGGTAGGAGACGATCTGAAACAAAACAACGTGTCAGCTCATGAACCTGGCTGAGGTGGATGGAAACTGCTGACACCTCGACATGAGCTGCTGGGAATGCACAGAGGGGAGGGAACAGTCTCTGCCTGGCACCCTGAGCTCAAGGAAATGTTCTTCTAGAGGTCAGTCACTGAACCTGTACGAGCAAAAAAACCCCACCCAAGTGTCTTGATGAGCCCTGGTAGGGTCAGTTCCCTATAACTGTGTCTGGAGATGCTCCAGCATGTGCAGTGGATGCCTCTCCAGGAGGAGGTGAGGCTGTGAGGAGGTATTTGATTGAAGAGAAACCCATTCTCAGGAGAGGAGAAGGAACAGGGGCTGCCATGGGCAGCTGGGGCCGGCAGCAGCGCTTGGCTTGGTAGTGCTGGGTTAATGCTGTGACTTGACCTTAAAGACCTCTTCCAACCTAAATGATCCCATGCATCATCTTCCCACCACAAATCCTTGCCAGGATGGCAGGAGGAAGCTCTTTGGTTCTTCCCTCCCCCAACACACAATCCAAAGCTACACGGTCTCACCCTCCCCGACCGTGCTGGAAGAGCGGCGTAAGCAACGCGCTGCTCATCCACCTCATCCTTAAAAGTTTATTCCAAACATTTATTCCAACAATTTATAGGCTTGTTACGCTCCCTCCCTTCGAAACCAGCCCAGAGCACAGGACAGAGGTAGTGACTCCACCTCCATGACCTTCTTTGGCCAACATTTTGGCCAGGAAGGAGCCAGCCCTTGGTTCCCCTCCCCGCAGAGCCGTGTGGGTCCTACCTCGGTGTAGCCCATGCTGGCAGCGGCAATCAGGGCCTGCTGGATGGCGTGGCTCTTCTTGAACACCCCCTGCTGCTGCCCAGCCATGCTCCAGTCACACTGGATCAAGAACTTCACCACCTCCAAGTGTCCTCTGAGGGCGGCGTGGACCAGGGCACACTGACCGTTCTTGTCCAGATGATCCACCTTGAAAAGAGATGACAAAACACAGTTAAACCAAATCATAGGCAAAACGTCTTTGCTTCTTCAGAGTTTCCAGCCCCAGCTTCAGAATAAAGCCACGTGTGCAAAATGTGCATTTTTCTGGTAAACTGTCCCTTCCATGACCAGAAAACAACCATTCCCAAAGCAACATCCCAGGCTCTGGTATCCTCTTGGCCACAAGTGTTTGCTTTGAGGAAGGCATCATTATTTTTTTAGCTGCCTTCAGTTTTCTTCAGACTCAAAGGCTGCAAAAGCATTTTTCCCTTTGAGTCCTGAAGTCCAGCAATCGAATTTTCTTGTGGATTGAAATCACACACGCTGATACCATCTCCTTTAGCCAAATCCACAGAAGGAAAATCAGCCTGTTTTCCAGATGCCATTTCTTTTCAGAGACCCAGAAGTGCCTCAGCCTGCTGTAACATGAACCCAGGGCAGGCACAGTCAGTAGGAAACAGAGACAGTGCTTGGCAGCCCTGGAGGAACTTATTTGGTTGTATCTCAGGGGTATGAATAAATCAGTTGGGATTTCTAGGTCCTATCTCAACACCAGGAACTTGGAGAACACGGGAAAGGAAAATCAGTGAACATCCTCCTGCTGGTTAACCCCTTCAGTGCTCTATTATTTCTCATAAAATAGGAAATTATTATTATTTTAATATATTTTACTAATATTAATTCATAGAATCTCAGACTGGTTTGGGTTGGAGAGGACCTTAAAGCCCATCCAGTTCCACCTCCTGCCATGGGCAGGGACACCTTCCACCAGCCCAGGTTGCTCCAAGCCCTGTCCAACCTGGCCTTGGGCACTTCCAAGGATGGGGGAGCCACAGCTTCTCTGGGCAATCTGTGCCAGGGCCTCACGACAAATTACAGCTATATAATACATATGAGAAATATTTCTCACCTTGTAACTCATTCACAATAATAACACATAACTATTTCTCCTTTCTCAATTCCTGCAACAATCAGTGTTGCAGTTTAACTGCAAATATCTCCATCTTTAAAATAAACCCAGCTGGTTTTGGGGTATTTCCTCAGCACTGTTGGGATGCTCAAGGAAAGCTGTTAGTGGCAGGACTTCTGTCACCAAATTCTTCTCAAAATATCCCAACAAAAGCAAAATTCTTTTCTTCCTTCATACTGTCTTCGCATTATTACAGACAACACAACCCAGCAAGATCTAAACAGTCCCTCAGTCATCCTGACTTTCATACCAAAACTAGAGAAACCCATATTTTGCCTTTTGAACTGAAACTAATCATATAGAGAAACCACAAATTGTTTCCAGCAGGCTCCACTTCAAAAATCAGCACAATTTTCTTCTTCAACAAAGTATTTCAAGTTGACTCATTATATACAATTAAAACTCCAAACACTCGCCACAAAGCTAAACAAAAGGGATTTTTCTGGGACAAGTCTGATGGAAGTTTTTGGAAAATGTGTCTCAAGGAGATATTTAAAGAACATTTTATGCTGGAAAAGTGTTGCCATTTTAACGTTGTGAGGTTTCTCCAGGACATCCCTCTGCAGGTCATCAGTGCAGGGCCATCGGGCAGCTCCTACCTCAGACGTGAACTCCACACACTATTAATTATTCTCAGGAGTTCCTCAGCTTTGGTGTCAATGTGGGATTTTTAAAGCCACTGGGTTTTAGCAGAAAAGCCAACCCCAAAAAGCTTCATCTGCTGGAGGGTGTTCCCTTAGCGAGTGCTCCGTGTCCTGCTGCAGCTCCCGCCCTGCCTTGCAGAGACATGGAACAGCTAAAATCAGCTTTCAGGGGACGGTGGCCACTTTACCTTGGCCCTTTTCTTGCACAGCAGCACCACAATGCTCAGGAATCCGGCAGCAGCCGCGTAGCCAAGGGGGGTCAGGCCGCTCTCTGAGGCAGCGTCGACGTTGGCCCCAAACTCCAGGAGCAAAGCCACCATCTCGGCGTAGCCCAGGTGGGACTGGACACACAGGATGGGGGCGTTGTTCAGGACTTCTGTCCTGTAATTCACGTTTGCACCTCCCAAAATCAGCAGCCGACTGACCTGGACGGGAAAGGAGAGCAGTTGGCTGAGAGTTCTGGAGAGACAGGAGTTTATTGTCAGGGTGACAACAGAACGTTGCACCAGGGCCCTCTGCACATCTCCAAACAAACAGCAAAGGACATGAAATGCTGAGTGAAACCACTTGCCCAATAGATGGTGCCATTTTAGGTAGATGGAGCAGTTTAATCTGTCCCTGAGTGGTTGATAAGTGGTTTGAGTGATGCAGCCTCCCTTTGTTTGGGAACAAAGTCACTCCAGCCCTGCTGCAGCAGCTGCAGACACGGCGTCTCACCCCAGGATGGGGACTGAAACCACACAGCTGGAGAGAACTGTACTCAGCATCCTTCCCCTGGGATCCCTGCACAACTCCCTCTGCACTCAGCAGCCACGGAAAAAGGCTCCACCTGATGCTTGCAGAGTGGCAAGGAAGGGACCTGGGGACAGGGCTCACCTAATATGGATGGGGAGGAGCTGGGACAAACATCCTTCCACATGAGGAACAATTCCAAACCCGTATCCCTGTCTGAAATCCTTTCTGCTGCAGAGATGGGGTCATTTTAAGTCAACACATTCATCCTTACAAAGCAAAAAAGGGGCCTGAACCAGCACACGGGCACGTGGGTTTGGTGTCACATCCAAGTTCGTGCCTAAGCCAGAGGCCTTTATGCCACATTCCAACAAGAGTTGTTTCATTCACATCTCTGAAGAGGAAAACCCCCAGAGAATCATTTTGCACAGGCACAAACTCACTATTCACTCCTTGCAATTAAAAGGAGATTCCTGGTCAATGCAGCAGAGTTGAGGGACCATCCCAGATGGTAAAACATCCCAGCTGGACTGATGGCCTCTCCCCACCTCAGGACAAACACCCAGGAAGCTGCTCAGCCTGGGCAGGGCACTGCCATGGACAGGGAGCTCCTCTGGATCCTCTGTCTGGTTACTGCTCATCACTGGAGCTTCTTGTGCCACCCCAGCTCTCCCTCCCCCTCCTCCAGTACCTTTATGTTCGGGGTGTAGAGATTTCTCAGAGATGCCAAAGCCATGGAAAGACCTTCAGTACTGTAGGAGATCCAAAGCCCTTGGAGGATGGAGGAAGACACCCCAACTTTTTTACTCAGCCCCTAAAAAAAGAGAAGATGACTGAGATCCAAGCTCACAAATCTGCTCCATTACACCGGGCAGATTCTCCTGGTCCTTTGGACTTCAAAGAATTTCAGGACAACAATGGCTACACCCAAGATAATGCAATGATTTGCCACATCTGACCTTTGCAATCGATTAAAAAACTTGTAGGAAAGAGCTTGTAAAGGTTGTGTAGCCATTCCCAGGGTCTAGGAAAGGCAGGATTAAACTGTGAGCAACCAGAATCCGTTCAACATCCTCACCAAGCGTCATGCCAAAGGAGCACAGATTGCTGCTTTTTCTTTTTTTTTTTCTTTTTTAATAAAGTACACATTATTTTGGCAGGACTGATTCACAAATTTCCTTATTATTCACACAGTTAAACCAGAAGACAATGTCTGCTCACAATAAGGTAAGTTGAGGAACTCTCAACCACAGCCTGGAGCAGTATTCCCCCTTCTCTTCTCCGACCTTTCCTGCTGCTGTCCATGATCAGGTTATACATAACATACAGGAAGCCTGACGTTTTCCAGAAAGATTCCAAAATATGAAATATTTTCCAGCATCACTAACTGGCAGAGCACAGAACTGTAGGTTTCTCCCTCCTGTGGAAAGAGCCATAATTGCTCTGCACCCAACAGATGGGAGTGAACAGCTGGATGGAAGAGGAGAGGGATGGGATTGGAGCTCCAGGAAGGAGCCTGGCTGCATGCTGTGCTTGCTGTGTGATGTGGGTACACCCTAAATGCTGCTGTTCTGATCCATTTCCCATTAAACCCTGCTGTTTCCATGGAAACTGCACAGACAGCCTTAATTCTGTTTTGATATGCAAACCCTGATTTCCACTTCCTCGCACGCTGGGGGGGGTCACTTGTATCCGTGCAAAACAGCAGGATCACAGTTCCAGGTTGTAGGACTGAAAAGGTGGGAACAAAACCAGCAGCAAAAAGTGGGATTGTTTCCTCTTAGGGAAGATGTGCAGGAATCAGCATCTCCACTTGCTGCTGGACTCAGCTGCAGGCCTGTAATTCCAACATGGGGAAGAGACTCCACAGCATCGCTCCAGCCATCAACAGATTTGTCACTTGGAACAGTTTTATCACCAAAAGAAGCAACAGATTACACAAGCTCTTATAAATAACAGCTCCATGTGCTTGTTTCCTTAAAATTCAGGCAGCTAAACCAAGGAAGAGATCTGCTTGTGCTAAGAGGGAGAAGAGAGCTCAGGAATTTGAGCCACTGCTAAATGCAGCTTTTTAAATGACACAGTACAGGACATTAAAGGTCAAGATTAAATTTCATGAACTCAGGATGGTGTAATTGGGAAACGGGAAACAATTTTATAATAAATGGTTAAAATAATTTAAAAATTGTTATACTACTATCAAGCCCATAAATAAGGTGTTTGAATCACCATCAAGGACCAAGGAAAAGGGTAGATATTTTGAGAACAGCCCTCTGAAGATAATCACAGATGCTATAAAAATCTTAACTGTTGCATTAAAATATATATGCTTAGATATTAGTGCAAGACCTAAAAGGTGACATTTATCCTTTAAAGAAAAAATACATTCAACAACATCAGCATTCAGTTGCTGAAAAAAACCTGCACTATTTCTAATTTTACAGCTTGTATCTTCCTTTTCTAATTCCCTTTTTAGAACTGTACAGGTTGAATCCTTCAGCAAAAGCAAATTTCAGTGTGATACAACATCAAACCAAAATACCACCAGTGGTTCCTACTTCACTGGGATCATCCAAAATGGGACCAAGGCATGGCCTGACCATTTGAATAACTTTGCCAACCCTCACAATCCCAGTGTTCAGAGCTGGTTTCTTCTGTCCTGTCTGGTATGCAGCTTTAATTTTTGACTTATCACTTCCTCTGCTATTTGGCCACTTGCACCTTAAGGAATCCTAGACTGGTCTGGGTTGGAAGGGACCTTAAAGACCATCTCATTCCACCCCCTGCCATGGGCAGGGACACCTTCCACTAGCCCAGGTTGCTCCAAGCATCACCCACATCTGGATTACCGACATTTTAACTAATTTAAGATTAAATTAAAGTCTCCTCTTTGCTTGATTTGCAAAACATACATCAGCCTGGAGTTTGGGTCTTCTTGTATGACAACTGTATGTTTCTCTTCGTGCCCTTTCACTCCATGCCAGGCTTTCCAAGCTGGCTTTCCATATACTCCTGTTAAGACTGGTAACTGATTAAAAAGATTAAAACATTTTACTTTTTCTTTTTTTTTCACCCCAAACTGTTTGAGGATGTTTGTGTTTAAAAGAGAAAACAAGCATATCTCAGGCAGTGAGTGCAGAGGGGAATGTGAAACTGTCTTCCCATCAATGTGTCAGGTCAGCACCTGAATTTTTACACCTGGAAATTCCAAGTGTTCCATCATAACCTTGTCAAGGTACTAGAGGATTCAAACTAGTAAGGATTGGGGAAGGATAAAGACATTTTCTGCACTGTTTTATCAAAGTTTGTCTCTATACCCAGCTCTCAGTCTTCGAACAGAATGCTTTAGTCCTGTTATAATCTTCTCCTGGCTTTCTGATGGGTAAATAAAATGGAATTACAATGGCATCAGGCCCTTCAAAATTAGGATCTTGTGTCTGCAGAAAGCTGCTGCTATAATATGGGAACTTGAGGAAGAACATCCTGAATTGATGACCTGACATGTTCCCTACTTGGCAGAAAACCCACGGCCAGGCCGGTAATGCTTCAGCAAAAGATCAGACAGAAAGAAAAGCCTGAATGGAAAAAATGCTTGTTTAGAAACAAACAGAGCTGGTTACAACAGGCAAAGAGCCTGTGCTTGTACTCTAGGAAATATTTTGTTTAAAGAATGCTCAAGATCTTAAACACTGTCTGTAATATTCCAGCCTAATGCCTCCTTCAGAAACTAATGCAGCTCTTGTTCTGTGCAGTAAACACTCACAAATCCTCAGTAAACACTTGTTAAAATAAGGAACAAAAATAAATCTATTCAAGGAAAAGCAAAAGACTAAGTTACAGTTTGTAAACTAGTTAAATTCAAACCCTTCCAAAACTTTGTGGTACTTCCAACCAACGTCCTGTTCTGGTTTTCTGTCACTGGTCTTCCTGCAGTGTTGGGACACCCAAAGGTTTTGCTGAGTGATGAGGAACAGAAGGCTGGAGTGACATTTCTCATATGCTAATTGGCTTTTTCTACTACTGTAAATATTGCTCAGTTAAAACTGGAAACTGTAGACAGCTCGTCCACTCCATGAAAATTGTCCTTTGCTCAGAGCCTGAATTCCTGTTACTGGTTTCCACCATGGAAGTGTGGAATGGAGCAGGTCTGGAACCAGATTCAGACCTGAATGACAGCTGAGCAGTAAACTCAGGGCTGAATCTGATCTTGGGAATGTACCTCAAAATGTGAAATGACCTCCTGAGGATAAAGTGCTGAGCTGGGGTTCTTCCCTTTGGATCCAGCCATTGCCTTCCCAAACAAGGAGACTTTGCTGCTGCACCTGATGGGGAAACTGGTGCAGTATTTATTGCCCAGGGGATGCAATAAATAACTCCAACAGGACTGACACAAGGCACAAACCACCTGCTTGCTCTAGGAATACCCACAGCAGTGCTGAAGTTATAAAATCCTGTATAGACCAGATGAAGGTACAGCCTTGTTTTTACCGGTGTTAAACACTCACAGATCCCAACAGCTGTAAGAAATTCTGTATTTCCTGTGACCTTAAAAATCCACCCTCTAATTTCGATCCTCTGGTACCTGGGCAGGCAGGAAGAATGATACTTATGGGTCATTCTGATGCTCACATCTGAGTTTGCCTTTTAACTACCCAGGTCTGAAATGCCTGTGTGAAGAGGAACATGGAGTGACCAGCCAATGTTAACAACCAGCAAATTCCCCCTTTACAACCTAAATTTAGCGTTGGATTCTTCAAATCCGCTTTTAAAAGATTTCTCTTTTCTAGATGCTGTTACAAGAACTCATCTTACAGGGGAGGAAACCTCTTAGGCTGGAGAGTAATTTTTAGGGAAGGAGGCTATCTGCTGAATTTCCAGGCTGAAGGAGGGTTTAATTTCAAGCATTTCTTAGATACCACTGCCAATTTTCCAAACTTCTACTCGCTCCAGCAGCCTCAGGCAATCACACTCTTACACCAACCCCACGACCAGACACGACTGAGCACTGCCAGTGCTGGGAATGAGCTTGGTGTTAAGTCTTCATTTGAATTTCTGTTACCTTAAAAATATGTGCTTTGAGGATGTGATGTCCCAGTTCAATAGTTTGCTGTCGATTTAATTTTCCTTCTTGTCGGGAAAACCAGAAGGCAAGTAGGGTGTGGCCACTCCTAAAATCAGAAGAAAGAGTGTGTTAGTATTTCTTGCTATACCAACAAAACAACTTTTGAGGGTAATTTTTGCCCCTTTTTGCTAATCCTTCAACCTCATCCAGCTCTGGGAAATAGAGGTGGATGAATTCTCACTTGTGAAGCACCAATTAATTGTAAGCACTGATAGCTCAAAACACCCCAAACACTGGAGGACAGCAAAAAAACCCCCACCCAATAGATTTTCTATGAGCAGATGTAAATTTGAAAACAGCAGAGGTACAATTCCATGAAAACTGAAGTGTTACTTTTCTGGTCATTTTACAGAGAAGAACCACACTTGCAAAGCTTGTCACCAACCCTGGAGTCACTAGAAAATGCTATATTTAGAATATCCACACTCTGAAAAAAATGTCCTTTAAATGACACCTGCACTTTCCACCCTGTGCCAGACCTGCAGTGAAGCTTTATTTCCTTGTAAACACATTCTCCAGTAATAAAGATGTTTCTGGTCATGACCTACCAGGTTGACAACCAAAGCAAATTAACTGAGCTACACACCAGGCCCTGTTTAAGGCAAAATATAATAAACCAGACAACAAATTCCACCGCTAAAGGTCATTTTTATTGACATTTTTAAACATTTACAGACTTCCAGCTTGTAACACTGCAAGTCCAACATGGCTGAATCTTCCCAAAGATGTGAGAAGCTGATTCTCCACAGATACACAGAACACACAGGGTGCAAAAATGTGAAGTTTTAATACAATTTCTGGGCAAAGCAGCAAATACCTGCCCCTGCAGGAGATGCAGCAAGCAGGGCAGGAGCTGCTGAGGCTCCACGCTGGAACCTCGGTGGGCTGTGTCTGCTGTTTCCTTGGGTTTACCAACAAAATGACATTCTTCCTTAAGCCCCTGGGTGCTCCCAAGGGAGCTCTTTTAACCCACTTCATTTCTGGAACTGCATAAAAATGTGACTACACTAAAAGCAATCAAACCCCTCCCGGCCAAGGAAAATAAAACATGAGATCAACCGTGGCTTTAAAAGGGCTTTTAAGGACAGGGAATGTTATTAGCTCATCCCTGTCTGGTAAAGCAAAGAAATCCTTGGGATGGCCAAACGTCAAGTAAATATTACACAGGATAGCAGCTTTCACAGCGGTGGGGATTTACCAGCTCATCCACATCCAGGGGGAATGATTTCCCATCTCAAAATAAACCAAAAGAAGAAAAGAATAAAAGCACAATACTTGTAATGCCCTGGCCAGGTGTCTGGCAAGGTCCCCTCCAGGCCCTGCCAATGAACCTCCTTTAGGAGCAGTAACACATGGATTCATGGGAGTGAGGCCTGGGGATGCTCTGCCAGTGGATGTGCCCACTGGAGGAGTGGGATGAGAAACAAATCACCTTTTTCTTACAAGGCAGGGTTTGATCCTCAGGTTTGAACAGGTGAAAGAGCACCACATCCCTTTTACAGGTAATAAACTCTTGCACTGGTGAGGAATCCTGCTGTGCCTCGTTCCAGAATGCAACTCAATTTACAGAGGCACCATCAACTCAAGTAACTGTTGTCTGAAATGTTTTTATGGACTGACAGTATCTCCATCCTCAGGGTGACTTGAGTACCAAAAGGAAGTGAGGAAAACCCCTTTTTTTGCTGGGCAAGCTGCTCTCCACACCCTGGCCTGGCACAGGGCCCGTGCTAGGATCCCATCGCTCCACACCTCCCATCCACGGAGGAGAAGCCTCTCCAGATGGTGACTCTGCCCAGCACAACAGAGCTTTGATACCTCAGCTGAAGCTTCAGATCCGTGAGGACGCCTCTGAGCACAGGGCAGTGCCTCCCATCCCACACGTCTGTGCTGTGAGAATTCCCCAAATAGCACCAACAGAAGGGACAAAAAACAAAAAGCCGGGACAACAGAAGGGCCTTGGAAGTGGTTGTAGCACCTTGAGCTAACCACAGCCTGTTGAATTCCTTTGGCTCTTCTCCTCTTTGGAATGGGAGGAGGACATCAGGTCACAGCTTTTTGGAGGAGACAGACAAATGCATTTACACTCCAGGAATGCCCGTGGGAAGGAGGCATGGATCAGAAGGAAACAAGTGACTGAAACACAGCTTGAGTGTTGCCAGGTACAGCTGGAAGTCAAGGGGAGCAGCAATTGCTGGGTTTTATTTGGCTCCATTAGGACAGATTACGGAAACCTGTATTTGCTGTTTATATATACACATATTGCAATAAATCACCAGATTCATGATGCTGTGGTTGTCATCTGGAGAAGGGCCAAGGTGTTCACCTCCACACAAAGGTTGGTGCTGCAAGGTCAAGAACTTATACAGGGTGGACAGGAGAACTGGAGAGGGACTTTGGACAAGGACCTGGATGGACAGGACAATGCCTTCAAACTGACAGAGAGTAGGTTTAGATTGGACATTAGGAAGAAATTCCTTCCTGGGAGGGTGGAGAGGCCCTGGCACAGGTTGCCCAGAGAAGCTGTGGCTGCCCCTGGATCCCTGGAAGTGTCCAAGGCCAGGCTGGATGGGGCTTGGAGCAACCTGGGCTAGTGGAAGGTGTGGCTAAGGGGGTGGGACTGGATGATCTTTAAGGTCCCTTCCAACCCAAACCATTCTAAGGTTCTGTGATTCCACGAATCAGAGCCATCGGCTCCTTCCCTTTGTGAGGATCAGGAACCACATCCTGCTGCTCCAGACTGAGAGTGGCTGCACAAAGGGAGCCTTCAGCCATCCCCTCTGCCTCGTGTTCCACATCACAGGACAGCAAATAACAGCAGTTGTTTGCTTGCTGGTAGAAAACCCTTTGATAACTTTTGGGAAGGCCTTGAATGGAGCTGTAACTGCGTTAATCCCACGCGTGAACTGAAGATCCAGAAGCTTCTAAAGTGCCTGTTCTTCACAGCAGGAGCTGAAGTGCAGCTCCTGACACACCAGTTCCACAGTCAGCTCCTACATTGCTTTTCAGCTGCAGTTGGAAGGGTATTTACCTAAATTTAATTACAGGCATGACTTTGGTGTTATGAATAAGGCATGTACAAACTATTCCAGAATAAAGTACAGGATTCATGAGTAATATATTACCTCTGCAAAGCTTCCCAGACCTTGGCTTTAGGCTGGCTGATAACACTTGCAGTCACTTGTTCTGTCAATGTTAATTGGAAACTAAACCAGACTGCAAGAACACAGGCGTTTGTTTTTTTTTAATTTTATTTTTCCTTTTTTTTTTTTAATAATACAGGAGAGTGGCAGTAATGATTTCTACATCAAGGAGCTCGGTGAAATGATTTACTTTGAGTTTCACCACTGCAGAGTTTATCATCAGAGATTTTTCTATTTTTAATGTAAGATTTCTTTTTTTGGTGAAAAATTAATAGCCCTGCCAGCTCAGTTTCTGCAGCTTTTGTCTGCTCTCAGTGCCTGTATCAACTCCTGGGATGGCCAGGGCTGTCTGCCTGGATGGGCACATATGTGTGTGTGTGTATATATATATCTGTAAAAAAGACAGAAAGATGAGTCTTAATCCTTCCAACCCCCTACAAAGCACAGCCCAGTGCACACCTCCATTAGCTCTAAGGAATGTAAATATAAGTGAAAGCTGCACATGGGCACAGGGGGAGATCAAAGAAACATGGATTGGTTGGGTTGGAAGGAGTTTTAAAGCCCATCCAGTGCCACCCCCTGCCATGGGCAGGGACACCTTCCACCAGCCCAGGTTGCTCCAAGCCCCGTCCAACCTGGCCTTGGACACTTCCAGGGATCCAGGGGCAGCCACAGCTTCTCTGGGCAACCTGTGCCAGGGCCTCCCCACCCTCCCAGGGAAGGATTTCTTTCCAATATTCCATCTAAACCTACTCTCTGTCAGCTTGAAGCCATTCCCCCTTGTCCCCCTGTCACTCCATGCTCCTATAAATAGATGCTGGATGTGCTCCCTACACATCTGCTCCCTTATCCACCCAAATCTGAGGCACACACAGCTCTGGGCACAGAGCAGGGGGACACAGGGAGTTGGTACCTCAAGCACACCCCTAAAATGACACTGCCCCTTGTGACACAGATGGAAGGGGACAAGGTGTTACTAACAAAAGAGATTAAAGGGTGTAAAATTACTCCAGCATTAAGGCACTGCAGTTCCAGAGTAAAACACAGGCAAAAAACCAAATGAGAATCAGTCCTGTTCACTTCTGAACCCACCAAATTCCCTGATTTACACCCATCTCTCCCTTCTTCCAGCTAATCCCGAGAAAACATTCCAAAAGCAAGAGATTTGACACTGTGCCCAGCAAATCTGGTCTTCCAAAAGCTGTGTATTCATATTCTATTCAGCTCTGCAGAGTACAATGTTTTAACTCCAGTGCAGAGACTCGTGTGTGCTCTGACAAAGCCTGGAGCCTCTTCCCTTGCAGAAGGATGTCCAGATGTCTGTCCTGGCTGCAGAAAAGGCCAAGCTCAGCTCCATGAGCTCCTCTTGAAGGATCAGTTAATCACCAAAGTTGATTTACTGATTTTTGTAACGCAGCTCCCCTCTGATGTTGTAACTGTGAATTAACTTGGAAGGAATTAACATTTTAAAAGAAAATCCCAACGAACCAGGGAATGCTCTTCAGCACGTGATATTCTTTCCTACGGAATCAAACACTGGTTTAATTTGCTGAGCTAACTGGGACAGCCAAGTTCAAAGCCAAGAAAAACTTTCCTGTCCCTTGGGTCAGACCTCATTGCAGCGAGAGAAGCTGTGGAGTATCTGCTTAAACACCATCACCCTGCCCAGAAGTCACTGAGGACACAGCAGTGGTGTGCTACCAATTCCAGCTGCTGTAGGAACTGCAGACACACTACCTGGTGAGAGGGACAAGGATCCCAAGCCAGCAGGGCTGCTGCTTGCTTTCTTCACCATAACACACAACATCATCACTAACCCAGAGGAACGTCTCATGGCCTCAGTCACACACTAGAAATCCATCACTGTGGGCAATAAACAAGACATTTCCAGGCTAAAGGGGGAAAT